GCTGGCTCGAGTGGGCGAGACGGGGCCCTGTCCTCTAACAGCTGCAGCTGGGGTCAGCAGGGGAGCGTGGTGGCCACCTCTGCAGCCCACAGGGGACATTTTCCCCCGGGACTTGGTGCCACGACGAGCATGTCCTAATGCCACCGTGACTTGTCATGCTGGATAAATCAGACCCTGTCTTACTTTTCCTTGACCAGCAGAGAACTCCCCCACCCCAACCTCTATTTTGTCCATGGAAATAGGGACCCTGGAAGCCATTTATAATTGTTTGTACTTCTCTGGAGCCAAATGCGCATCATTCGTACTCTTTTGGCCGAGGCGTCTACAGGGCTCGGTGACTCACGCTGTGATTTTAAATGATCGGTGTCCGCCCACCCCTTGGTCTTCCTCGGTGCCTGTTTGCAATATCGAAACGATCGTTGTTTTGCATTTTCTTTTCTACAGTAAAATAAAGCCAGCTGATGATTGCAATCGATATAGATGACGCAGGACAATTTTATAGATCATCGGCATAAACGTGGCATTTTCTGTGTTTTGTAAATGATGAAACTCCGGGAACAATTACAGGCAGAAGTCACAGAAAATGGAGAAAATGTCTCAGCAGGGGAACGTGAGCTGCTTTGTACGGCCCGGGTGCTTCTCCGTAATTCAAAAGTAAGGAAACAGCACAGAAAATGGATCGGTCAGATTTTGGATATTTCCTGCGGCGCCACTCAATCTAGGAGGGAGGGCCACGTGTCCGTCTTTCAGCAGAGAGAGCAACCGAGCCGTTTAAAAACCGATCACTTTTTTCTTGAGACAAAGTTGTGAGGGGGAAAAATTGAATTATAACAGCCATTTGCAGCAACAGGGCCTTCTCCCCCTGGGCCTCCCTCTGGGGGTCTTGCTTGTGTATAATCTCTGTCCTCCTGAGTGGTTTCAGTTTGAGAAATCGGCTTCTCAGCTTCTTTGCTGTGTCCCTGCCTGATCCTAGGGCCTGACAGATTGTACCCAGAACGCCAAAGGCCTTCGCAGAGCTAGGGTATTAGAATGGTAAAGTTTATGCTCATCTTCCTTAGTGACTTAGCCGTCCCTGCTCACCGACTGCAATGAAGGGACTGCTGTGTGCTTCCGAAGCGCCATTCCGTGAGCCCCGATCGAAGTGTAAGCTGGCGCGTGTGTTCCCTAGACGTGCCGAGGGCGGGGAAAGGAGCCAGCCCGCCCTCAGCGCCCGGCGGTTTCGTGTTGTCTTTGCAGCTCATGCCCACGATGAGGTGTGACTCCCTTTCACAAGCAAGGAAACAGAGCCTCGGAGAAGTTCAACAACTTAGCCAAGGCCGAGCAGTTAGAGAGGAGGAGAGAGACGAGCTGAGGGGCCTGCAGGAGGAGGGCTGTCATCCCAGCAGGCAGCCCCGGCCCACTGTCCCGCCCGCCCCGGCAAGCAGGCTGAGCTGGGGCACGCGCTCCCCGCCCCGCCCTGCCTCCGGGCCTCGCCGGGCGGGTTTGGTACTGGTTCTGAGGGGTGAGCACAGCCAGAGGAAGCTCATGGGTTACAAAACTACCCCTCGCCCCCGAAAACCCCAAGGGTCCCTCATGTGTCCTTATCACTGCCACCTCGGTGCCTGAAAATAGAAACATTGTAAGTTTCAGTCAAAAACTGGCGGATGCAAACGCCGGAGGATGAGTTTGCAGAGCCTCCTCGCCCCGTTATCAGAAAGGAAAAAGGTGGCGTTTTCTTCCATTTCACTCCTCTCGGCGTCTATCCTGAGTGCGTGACAGGCAGTGACTGCGCAGATCAGCACCGCGTGACAGGCAGTGACTGCGCAGATCGGCACCGCAGAGGCCGATCACAGCGTGTGGTGGGGAAGCTTCAGAAAATCATATTGTGTGTCCATTTGATCTGTTAGGATAACCAGAGACACAACACTGGACTTTTCCTATAAACGACATTTTTATAATCTTCTCCACTGGTCATGATGCAGGAGGACATGAAACCACCCCGAAATGTTGCCTTGCGATTGCTGTACCGAAGGCTTTCCGGTTTCTGTACTGTTCCCTCTCACACACCCTTGTCGCCTTCTCCACTGACTCAGTAATAAACCCCCACAGCGTTTCTCAAATAAAAGGCTTTTTTTTCCAACCTCAAGGCTCGCTATGATGGAGGCAATAAAGGCATGTTCCCAGTAGCTCAGGAGTGAGTGCTGCTAATTCGTGGTGACGTTTGGGGGCGGGGTAGGGGCGGGGGACAGAGAAAGAAAGAAAATGTGGTGGGCTCTTGTGCAGTATTTGCCAAGGGTGCACCGGCTGGCTCTCATCTCGTAGGACTGGGGCCCGGTGAGGGCTCCCGCCCAGCCCCAGGCTGAGCTCCGGACGCCGCGCCGGGCAGCCACGGGCCGCAGCTTCCGTTCCACGTCATCCCCTCCCTCCTCCGCTTCTCCCCGTCCTCCCAGCACGGTGGAAGGCGGTGCTTGGCGCACATGGGCATCCAAGAGGGAGCGGCACGGGTCGCGATGCCATGAAGGGCTCTTTCGAACGGAGCCGGACCCTGGAGCCCTCCCACCCCCAACCTCCCTAGGTGTTTGCGCGTTGGATAGGCTGAGTTTTACAACAGACAAGCTGTCGGCCAGCATCTCGAGGGCTGGGCCTGCAGACTTCGCCTCCATCCAGCCACCCTCCAGCTCGCCTCTGGCCAGGCCCGGGTAGGCGTGTGCAGGACCAGAGGTAAAGCAGGCAGTGGCCGCGGGCAGAGCTCCCGGTCTGGACAGCGTTAAGGGGACGAGGCAACAGGCTGCCATCGGCGTGTGCACACCGAGAAGCACGTGGTTGAAAAGGCCATGAGCGAGGGGCCCCTTTCCCAGGCAGCTCCACGCCAAGGTCGGGTCCCCCTGTGAAGGGACATAGTATACCTTTAAACGGTCCACCGCTCTGACCCGAGCCTTCCCCCGTCACGGCATGTGACCCTGGTCTGAGGTCGTCAAACCCACATCCACTGGGCTCCAGAGCAGCTGCCCCAGGCCGAGTACAGCCATCACCGCACTTAATGGGTACCCAGCGACGCCCCTATGTGACAACCAGACCTGGCAGTCCATGCTGGCCGTGGGAATCCATGCCAGCTCTGTGTTGGGGGAGGGGTGCTTTGTTTTCCCACCGACTTGACACCAGCCAGACCATCAGTCCGTGATGTCAGGTGGGCCTTTCCACGGGGGCAGGAGAGCGAGGTGACAGTGATCCCTGTGGCTCATCGGATGCGCTGAAGGACGAGTCACCTGCTACCACCCACTTCTGCCCACGCCGCCCTCGGCTTGGACTGTCCAGGAGAGAAAACCAATCCTGGCATCCGCAGGGTGAGCCTGGCAGCTCGGTGGGCATTTTTACATGAATAATTTCATTGAATCCTCACCTCGCCCATGGGATGGGCACTTTTACCGTTCCGATTTTACAGGAGAAACAGAAAGGACGTATGAAAACGGTTTCGAAAGACTTTCGAGGGGATTCTAATGAACCCTAAATGTAACTAAGCGTTTTCGTAAATGTCGAATTTGTAAGGTAAGTTGAACAAAGTTTAACCACGTTCTCGGCTTTCCCTTACTGTCTGCTCGGATGCTCATCGGGGCAGCAGAGCTAATCTGAAATTCCGTCATTTTAATTCGGAGCCCCGGTTCTGCTGTGCTATGTTCAGCTGCCTCCCTGTTGGGTGATCTTATGTTGAATGTTATGAATTAGAATCTCTTAAATATCCTTTGTCAGATGCCAGCAGAGAATAGAATAAACCCCTTATGAGCGTTTTGTTATTATAAATTAATAACAAATTGCCTGTGACGTGTTTCAGTCGATTGTGTCCTGAAATTAATTGTGAGGATGGCTGATCTAGCACAGGGTCAACAAACTATGGCCCATAGGCAGACCCAGCCTGCCACCCGTTTCTATAAAGTTTTATTGGAACGCGGCCATCCTCCTTTGTTAATGCATTACCATGGGCTGCTTTCACATTCCAATGGCAGAACTGAGTAGTTGCAACCAAACATCTGTCCGCAAAGCCAAAAATATTTACTCTTGTGGCCTTTTACAGAAAAAGGTGGCTGGCTCTGGTTTTGGACAGTGAGGTCAGTGAGACGTGCGTGAGCAGTCAGCTGGGGGCCAGGGGCTGGCTTCTGGAAACTGCTTGGTGTGTATGCGGTGTTCGAAGCCGCCCTGTGAGCATGGAGGGAGCAGAGAGAGGTCCTTCCTTATGACACTGGGCTGCTTGCACCAACCCTGCAGTCACCCCACCGCCTGTCCTTATGGTTTAAGCCAAGTCGAGCTGGCTTGCCATTCCTCGCGGCCAAAAACATAAATGACGCAGAAAACACTGAGGGCCTCCTCCCTGGGGAGATCTTGCCCCTGATCTGAGATCTGAGGAAAGGGGGGTCTGGGTCGCTGCCCTGGGAGGTACACCCAGCTCCCCCGCCTTAGATGTGGCCCAAAGGGGCATTCATTCACATGGAAACGAGGCGTTTCCAGGTCCCATCTCCCCCGCGAAGGTTCACGTCATTTGTGAATATTCTGCTCACCTTCCCTCCCTGCTGCCTGAGGTCAGTGGCCTCAGAAAGAACTCACGAGTGGCCCGTTCACCTACGACAAGGAGGCGAGGCTACGCAGTGGGGTAAAGGCAGTCTCCGTTAGATGCGCTGGGAAAACGACAGATTCATGCAAAAAAGTGAGATTGGACCACGTTCCCACACAGTACACAAGAACAAACTCAAAACGGATAAAGATTTAAATGGAAGACCCGAAACTCCGAGGAGGAAACACAGGCAGTAAACTCTCTGACGTTGCTCTTGGTGATATTTTTTTTTGATACGTCTCCTGGGCAAGGGACACGAAAGAAAAACATAAACGGGACTACACCCAACTAAAAAGATTTTGCACAGCAAAGTAAACCACCAACAAGACGAAGAGACAGCCTACCGAACGGGAGAAGGTATCGCCAATGATACATCCGAGAGGAGGTTAATATCCAAAATATATAGAGAACTCACACAACTTAACAGCAAAAAAACCCCTAACGATCCATTGAAAAATGGGCAGAGGACCTGAGCGGACATTTCTCCAAAGAGAACATAAAAGTGGCCAATAGACATATGAAAAGATGCTCAATGTCACTAAACATCAAACAAATGCCAATTAAAACCACAATGAGATACCACCTCACACCCATCAGCATGGCCGCCATCAATCAATCAACAAACGAGTGTTGGCGAGGATGTGGAGAAAAGGGACCCCTCGTGCACTGTTGGTGGGATTGCAAATTGGCACAGCCACTATGAAAAACGGTTCGAAGTTTCCTCAAAAAATGTAAAACAGAATTAGCCTATAACCCAACAATTCCACTTCTGGGGATTACTCAGAGAAATCCAAAACACTAATTCGATGCACCCCGATGTTCACCGCAGCATTATTTACAATAGCCAAGATATGGAAGCCAGCTAAGCGCCCAGCAATGGACGACTGGATAAGGAAAAGGTGGTACGTATACAATGAAATATTACTCGACAATCAAAAAGAATGAAATCTCACCATTTGCGACGAGATGTGTGGATCTGGAAGGTTTTGTGCTGAGTGAAATAAGTCAGAGAAAGACAAATATCAGACGACTTCATTTATATGTGGACTCCAAGGAACAAAATAAACAAGCA